TTCACGCCTTCACCATTTTTCTTGGATTTTTTATAGCAATAAATGTAAAGTGATTCACTAATTATGGGACAACCTAATGATTTGATTCAACAGAAAAAGTTACCGTCGAAAAAGTGTTCCACCGAAGACTTCTGAGCGCTACTGTATGTGTATGTACAAGAAGTTCAGTTTGAGCTCTCGCTCGCTTAAGCTTTAGCTTTTCTTATGAAATGTCCACACAGAAAACGGAAAAGTCGCGCACAGAAGACGGAAAAATGATGGCATGGTATATGTGGTTACGCTATGACACATAGAGGTTCATGGCATGGATATAACCTAGTTTCAGGACAGGACGATGGGTCTACTCTAGACCACGAGTCGTTTAGCCCAGTGCAGCCACAAGTTCCTCTGCCGTTGTCAGCCGTCGCCACTTCGCTCACTTCAAAAGAATCTTCAAGCTGATCGGTGTGACCTCCTCGCCAACATCCCCATCTCAACATCCTCATTCGGTGGAGTAAAGCTGCCTTTCGTGATTTTTGTTCACGATCTAGAGCTCGCTACCGTAGAGCGTCGCAGGCTTCACCACTGTCCAGTACAATTTCCCTGTGAGTGTTTCAAAACACCTTCGGTCGGCAGGGGATTCCAGATGGACTCCTCATTTGCAACCCCTTCACGGACGTAACAGCCCAATTGACACCCCGCGTCGATTTTTCGGCGCTTGTCAACATGTGTCATTGGCGGTATTGTGTGTGCGTCCATACCCGGCGATGCTTTAGGCTTATATTTGGGACATTTCGTTTGTTTTCACTGTGAGATCCACACAGCGGATTCGTTGGGAGGGCGCAGCAAATTTTGTTTCCCTACACTGATTATGGGTTTTTCAGGTTTTGCTATTACTACGGCTTATAAGTCCAATAAGTTTTGAGCATGGTTTTGTGCGTACTTCTGCGAGATGGTAGACGTGTTTATAGGGAAAAATTTCCGATAATAGTTTCGTTTTTAATTGCCAAAGAAACTCGAAGTCTGAAGCGCAAACTGCATGCAAATTTCGTAATTGATGATAAGTTGTTCAGTAGGTAGGCGTATTAGAATCTGATTGTTTGTGTTGAAATTGAAGTTGTCGACATGCCACACGTTCCTACGGAATTCATGAGACTAACAGAAGTCAAGTTAGTCAAAGAAGTACAGAAAAAGGTTCATGGGGAGCAAAATACAGATGTGCATACCCGGCGATGCACAAATGTCAGATGTGGGAGTTTTCGACGTGCATACCCGGCGATGCACGCGGGCTGCAACGTGTTAATTCGTGCCTGTAACTGTTACTGCCTGATTACACTGCGTCGGCGCTTAGATCGCTTGCCCAAGCGTATTTGGAGTTTCCCTCGTTTTTGGTGCTTTCCACTGTCGGCCTGATTGATTCTGTAGCGTTTCTCGAAACCCAGTAATTTGGTCTTCTGACATTAGACAAAGAAAAGAAGTTTCTGAGTTAATCTCAGATGGCACAAGAATTGACGCAGCGCGTTTTCTTGGACTGTGCTCAGCAAATCAAATTCTCACTACAGTCAAGAGTAAGTGCTGAGCCCATACACAAGATAAGATGAGAGGTATATATATTATATATATATATATATATATATATATATATATATATATATATATATATATATATATATATATATATATATATATATATATATATATATATATATATATATATATATATATACAGCACATTGATAATGAGACGTGTGACCCAGGACAGCAATACAGGACGTCCTCAGCGACTCGGAACGCCGCCTCTCGGGATCCTCGCGGGCATCTCGACTGCCTCTCAACTTGTCGCCGTTCCCTCGGGTTATCCCGTTATCTCCGTCGCTCATCTCCGGCCGTCCAACCTGGAAAGCATCTCGTGTTGACTTTTAGCATATCGTATCCTTCACACAAGTGATCCGACACCTGCCTTGTTTCCAGGCATAAACGGAAGGACGGTAGCTGCGCCTACCCATGAGAATTTCGGCTACGTCAATATCTGAAAGTTTGGAGGTGATATAATAATTGACGACAGTGAATATATCATTTTTGGTAGCTCGGCTTTCGTGAGCCTTACAAATATGTATTTCCGAAATGGGGCCGAACCCCAGTTGTTTGTTATTCGTCATTCTTTTGCACCAGTAATCGTTCAGGTGGTCACCCCCATTCACAAAATAACAACTTCTACTTTGGCATCTAGCACTATGGTGATTTTAATCTACTCTCAAAATTCGCATCGCTCAATCTGATTCTTTCAATGCGTCGCCTTTGGCACCGCGCGATCTACCGTGAACCCTACAGAGTGTGGTTTTCGTAAGTTTGTTTCTCTTCGGAAACTGAATTTTGGCGTAAAACTTTGTAGCTTGTCTCCAGCGATCACGGTCGGCATATTCATGTACCACATTATGCACAAAAAACAATGAAATTTATAATTAGAAAAAAGTGGACTAGGCCGCGTACGCCATTGTGGAACTTTTGACTTACCCTTTATTGGAAGTAACTTCATATAAAAACATAGAACTTTAGCACGCCATGAGCAGCCATAGTGTTTCTTTTCAGTACCCCTTCATAGATTATTGCTCGTCATAGTAAGAGTGTATGTACTGGGTTAGATTTTTATACAGGGTGGCGGGAAACCACGTGCGCCATAAAAATGTCTTAACTTAATTTTTCGTCTATAAAAACTCGAGAAAAATCAATTTTATACAACAGCAAACTTTGAAATTCAATAATTATGAGAAAGTATCGAAGGTGCCGCTGTCAGTTTTGATATATGTATGTAGATCTCAATTAGTTTTGACATCGAGTCAATGCTGCGGCGAAGCTGGAGAGCAGGGTTCACGTTGGACACATTTCAAGATTTTACGACCCCCCCCCCTTCTAAGGGCCTCGATACGACCCCCCAGGGTCCACCCCACCACTGGTACTTTTTTGGAAATTTTTCACGACCCCCTCCACTAACATGAGACTCAGGAGGTCCACCAACAACGATCACCACCATACCACGTTACTTTGAGTTCTGAGACCAGTTGACACAGGCCGAACTCCCCCCACCCTTTTTTTTCAAACATTTCCTCCAAAGTAGCTGTCGAGAGGGAGTTATATATAGTTATATATATATAGTTATAAACGGCAAATTTTCTTCTTAGCACTCACAAAGCATAAAGGGTTACACGCTACGACCCTCGCTGGTGTAGGATTGACGCTGCCTCCGACCTTGCGGATACGACCCCATGTTTTACTTTGACCAACGGACGATTGACCTTGCTGGAGAGTCCTCTGGTTTGACGGAGCACTTCTCCCATGTAAGCAGCTAAAACTTCCGGAATCACCTCCAACTTTTTGCTTAGCCCTTGGGCACATTTGTAAATGGAAAATACCTGCAAGAATTCCGAGAGTTAGAGTTAATATAGTTATTAAGATAATTTGGAGCAGTATCAGTGGCAGTGCTTGGGCGATCCTCCATTCATTTTTATCGATAAAGTCATGGAAATCAATGCGACGATATATCATGAGAGGTCTTCAGGAAAGCACTGGTGCTCTGGAAGCAGACTCACAACAATGTTGTCTGTCCTTGTCTATGAACAAAAAAAAGTCTGGATATTTTTCGTGGAGCACATAATTTTTTCTCGGCACCCTATATTGTGGCGCTTACATTCGGCGCAAAGGTTTGAACCAAAAAATATAGGCACTCCGAAAGCACTCCGCCCCCAAAAGCGATCTGCCCTCTAGTACAGTTCATGATTTGGATGAGATATTTTGCCAGCAGCAACACAAGTGGAGCAACTTTTCAGGGACATGGTTTGACATAGTTCCACGAGCGCGTTGCATATGCTCGTATATTCGTACGCTGTCAGCGGCTGCCAGTCCTGCTGGCGAAATTCAACGGCCAAATGAGTTGGTCCCGTTTTGCATTCTCCTGATAGGCTTCTCTGCTTTTTTGGCCACTGATGTACCATGGAGCACTCCCACAACCCCTGTAAACTTCGCTAAACTCTAGAACCTTTCGTAATCACTGCCTTTGAATGGTCAAAAAGAAGAGTTGTGGTAAGCCTAATTCATTGGTGCTTCTTGTTTTCGGAACGCCACACATAAGCTCGTGCTGTCTAACTCGAGATCGGCAATGGACAGCTTCTCTACTCATTCCGACTCCTCCGCACGCTATGATTGGCACTTTGATTGCCCCTCGGAAAGAGTGGAGAATCAGCAGAGGGATATTTGCCCAATAAGAGTTCGCAAACGGTCGCAATGAAATGGAACAGTAGCTATGTCACGTAACAATTGTGAACCAGATGTTATTGAAAACAAACGCATCACAACTCTGTTCTAAGGGCAAATCTTTGTAAATTACTTGATAGCGACGTTTCCATATACTCATCGGTTCATTTCAACCAATAGCGACAAGACTTCAAGTACAGAGCACAGAAAGGTTGCTATCAAAGTCCAAGTTTTGACACAGGCTTGAAGATTTCCATATCTGTATGAATTATTTATTTTCTTTTCGTATTCTCGCATTCGGCAGCTTGGAATATTGAAGAATACCTCCTATGATGCGAGGTAGCACAGAATCTTCTTGTGAACACTTGTTCAGAGGCCTCGAATGTATTGGAAGGGTTTCTATTCGAATGCTTCACCGTTCCTTACGATAAAAAGGGGGTCCTAATAGGCTTGGCTTGACAATCTAGTACAAGGCAATAATCGTTTAGCGGGCACCAAGTGCAATTCGTGATGGCCGATCACCTAGATAAGCAGCACCTCTTGTATATATCTGTACGGTTCAGTGGTAAATTTTATGCCAGCGCTATTCACATTGTTTAAACACAGAAGCGGAAAGGGCCGGGACCCATTAGCGGCGTGAAGGGCGGAGCCACACCTCTGACGTCGCGGGTGCGTTAAGGGCAAATTTCAACAATACTGCTCAAAAACATTTTCAAATCATTAATATGAAGGCAATATAAAGGGATGGGCTAAACTCCCACACTTGTCACAAAATGTTTCTCGTTCTCGCAGCGGCCCTCTTTGTGATGGCGAATGTCGCTGTCAAAGGTAAGTGCAGCATTTGTATAGCACTTATCTGATTTTATTATGTCCGCAAAGACTCCCTTAGATTAGTTATGCGAAAATTTTTTTTACTTTTTAGTTCGACCATGGCCCATGCCCCCGTACCTGGAAAACATTTATAAAGAGTTTTTCTCTCGTTTTAATAGATGCATGGTCAGTCATTTTTTGTTATACCCAAGTGGAGAGCAGTGTTTAGGCAGCAATTTTCCCACAGCATGAGTTTAAAGATTAAATTCTTCACAGAATCAACCTAATAGCAAGTTTTGACTACAGGAATGGGATAGGACCATATCGCAATCAGGCTTTTACAAGAATAATGAAAGGACGTGGGACCTTAAGGTATCCCAATATCATGCGCACTACCATTGGGTGGGTTCCAAAGATTACCATTCCATGTTCTCGCAAACAAACGTGTTTTTAAGGGAATATCCGCTCTGGACTAATCTGACAATGGCGGATAAATTATATTACACCCTCCTCCCTTTCGGTATATACGGACTGAGGTGAGTCGTTAAATAAACGCTGCAAGGTGTGGATCTTCAAAGTGTTGACCAATGACATCCGGCCGCTTCAGGGTGCTGAAGGTAACTTTATTGGGTTGTCTCATAATTCCTGTCGCATTTCTATTCAATTTCAAATTCCTTCCGTCTAAGACCGTTTCATTGCGAAATACGTTAGTATGTTGAAGTATGCTTCAAGTGCCTTAACAGCGTGGTTTCGGAAGCGCAAGCCCTTAACGGGTTAATCAACTAGTAATAAAAATAGGTCAGTGACTGCAATCAATGATTATGCTTTACGATCCTCAAATGAACTCTGTAGCAAGGAGGACAACAGAGAAGATCAGCGCTGTGTTTGACTCAGTCTCTGCTACTGATAGGGTACTGAGCTAGTGGACCAATCGCAACGGCAAAGACGAAACGAGCTATGAACTTCAACCTCATACTGGGCCTGCGGTCATTTTTGATGAGCGCCCCTTGCACCCTAAATTGGGAGTGCCTCCGCACGTTGCTACCAGGGTATTGTAGCAGATACCTGAGCGCAGCCGATGCACCAGCACACGCCATCAGTATGGCAAGGACTGCTGCAGAGTGAAGTTTTGATGGAAACCTTATGGTCCGGCCGACCATGAGCGGGAAGCACGCCTGATCACCTGGGGAAAACCCATTCTTGGATGGCAAAAGCAGAGTCTTCCCTAATCGGTCACCGGTGGAAATGAGTCATGAGTCCACTGCGACAACAACATGCGGCACGTCTTATGGCTGCCTCGCAGCCAGGAAGCACCAGCTCAACCAAAGCCCGAACTCCGTTTTCTGAGAATATCGATCTCGTTTTATTGGATTCAAGTATTGCTAAAAGCCAGCGCGGATGCTCTCCGCTTGATTTGGGTGCGACATAATCGCAGAAAACGTCTACAGATCCCTTCCTCCGAACATGTTACACCCCCAATAGCCATGCATCTCACCACCGTGTGGGGATAGCCAGTGCCCCACGAACCTCTTCCACGCACCTAGCATGGCCCTCGCTATACGTCGGACCATTGCCTCTCCCTACGCTTGAATTACGCATCTGCGCAGAAAAGAAGGGAAAGAAGGTGAAAGAAAGTTAAAGATTGCGGTCACCCCAAAAACGACTTCTCCAAATTCTTCAACCCCCAGTTTCCTTCATTCTGGGCTGGAAAGCTTCCAAACGCCCACTAGTAAATGCACGCATATCAGTGACCATGATGGTGGTTATGCTATTAGTCAGTTGTTGTTTCCCAGAAGAGATAAAACTTGAATAAACAAAAGTGTCGAAATTGCGACAGGAATTATGAGACAGCCCAATAAATCGGACGACACGTAATCTGTTCCTGTGTACTTCGTTTAATAGTTGCCCCTGCTTTACATGACGTTGCCCATTCTCATGATCAGTTTGAGGAGGCATGCATCGCAACTTGCGCACTGATGTGTGTCGTTAGGTTTGAGATTTTGAGGCGCATTGGGTCAATGAATTACTCGAAACCAATCTGAACCAGCATGCATGAGACGATTATATCCAATAGTCGCTTAAATCTGCCGGCCGCTCAACTATGCAGCAGGCGGCGGGAGGAAGCGTTGGTTTCTTCACTCTTGGCTGTGTATACTGAATTTTCCCTTTGGGTTAACGGTATCGTGACTGTTGCTAAATATTGATATTATTTAGATCGAGAAGCTTCCTAGTGGGGTGCAGTATGGATGCAATCATATCCATACTAAAGGCACTACTGTTGTGTTCATGCTTACTTTGTGCTTCTTCCGGACAACCCTATCATGATTTTGCTACTCATCAACGGCCTTTTTCTGCCTGTTATTTTTACTAGATTATGTCTTTGTTTGCAAAAAGCCTGCATAAAACGATTCCATGCAATTTTCTCTGAAATTTCGTAACACAGAACGTTTGTCACCCTACGACGTCGACAAACGTAGAAGCATTACACGACTGAAAAGCAATTTTCAAGACCAGTTTGCGATCATATGAAACGAAACCGTTGTACATCATGCATCCAGTTGTAGGCTATTTGGTCGGTCAACAATTTCTGGACCGACATTTTTATATGATGCCATGAAAATTCCGAGGGAAATCTCAGAGAAAACACGGCTAGAGCCGTGTTTCCATTACAAAATCCGATAAGCGAGCCAATTTATTGGTATGCCACTTCCCCTGGCTAAAATTCCTCGGAAGCTATGATTCCAGTGCCTCAGTTTTCATAAGGACCTATTAGAGTCTTCAGGAGGCCAGGTAGAGCGAAGGCTCCCACAAGGCGAGTCAGAGTGCACCCGTCTTGTGGAGGAACCTAAAATTACTGTGCATCGCAGTTGCAATCATTCGAGGTTGTAGTAGTCGTATAACAGAACAATTTTGGATATGGATCTCACTGGACCTAACCAGGAACGGATGGTTGGTCGAAGTGGCCATATGTAAAGAGACCTACACCGGTGGATGCGTTTTTGGACGCTGATCTCGAATCTGCTTTCCAAATCTGCCAAACGATTTTCCGAATGGAGTTATGAAGGAAAGTAGTGCAGCGGTAGTAGTCCGGGTTCACGTGCGAGACGTCGTAGGATCGATTCCCTGGCGGGTTCTCTTTTTTGCCTTCGCTGCAAAATGATTGAAAAAGGCTCCCAACTACCTTACTCGATCAATGCTTGCCTGTAGTTACCCGTGCAAAGACTTTGCGAAGGAGTTTCTAATCAGTTTCTGCGGTACTCACTAAAGACTGCACATGGAGCCCACAGAACTCTTGGCAGACGTTTTTGCAGCAAACAAGTGTGATATTCGTGTTCCGGAGATTAAAATACCCCTAGGGACAAGTTTGTAGCCAAATTTGAGATTTCGACCAAATTTCGAAATAAGCTGGGTGGGTATCTATCCATTCATCCATCAGCCTATCATCGAAGCCTATATAGCCTTGAGACGATATAAGTTTTTTTTTGGTTTCTGAAGAGTGTAAAGCAGTGTCTGGTTTTCTGTTCGCATGATTTCAACACCCACATTTTATTATTTTCAAATTTAAAGGGTCGCCGTCGTCCAAAATAGGTCAACCCTGGAACTACCGGCTATGGATATGTAGCATCAATGAGTGACTCGCCCACTTTTTTTGAAGTTAATTCAAAATCTCGAATTTTTCTAGAAATTGGCCCCAGGAGTTATTGGACTACTTGAACACAGATCTCACATTCGTTCACTCAAAAACGGCTGAAGCGCGCGCTCCGTATACTGGCGCGCCTTAACCTTATGTAGTGGCATGCAAGTTAGGAAAAATTTCGAAGTTATCGACCTCAAACTCATCCAAAAGCAAGTAGGGCTGACCAATGATGAAGGAATCATGTTTCACTACTGCCAAATAGTCAGTCACAAAAATGCAAAAGGAAAACACGCGGCGGATCCGAACCACTGACCCCGAAATCCCAAGCCCACCACCTTAACCACTAGGCCACCAGCACCCGGAAAGAGGCTCACTGCTTCGTTCACAAGCCGCTGCTGCTGAGGCCGATTCCTCACTGTGTTAAACTGTGTGAGGGAACAAAAAACCTCCGTAACTCCGTTCAGCGAATCGTTTGGCAGATTTGGGAAGAAGATTCGAGATCAGCGTCCGAAACCACATACCATGATACTTGTCTCATTTCATATGGCCACTTCGACCCTTCATCCTTCCCTAGTAAGAACTTTGAATGGGTTGTGCTTCCATTCTACATTCCTTAAAGCCCGAGTCAAGTTTAGCTCTCAAGCGCCAGCTCCTCCAGTGTGAAAAGGAGAGGTTCCAGAAGAGCAGGAAGCGTGACATTATTGCGACTCAAAAGTGCGAAGCAAGCTCGCAGAGGGTCTCTCCGTCATGCCACGGCCTGCCTCATATGGGAAATTTAGTGTTTTCTATAGTGCTTTTTGCTTTTTCTCCCCACTAACGTTCCTCATTGCACTCCTTGCCTAGTTTCCAAACAAAATAACATACTAATTCAGTCCCGACTCGTGCCAGCAGCACCAAAACCCACGCTCCATCTGACACCCTGAGGCATACGCTCCGCTGCATTGCTATCGTTCCGCACTCTTTTAAGTGGGATCATTCAGAACATGGAGCGTTTTTTTAAATTTTGTGAATGTTGTAGAGGCTCATGTGAGAAACACAGAACCATGGTCCATTTTTCCTGAACGCCCCAGGAATGTCAAAACAGCGGGGAAGAAATGGTCCAAAGTTCGATCCTCCGTGATGACAAATTTTTGCAATTTATGTTGGCGCCTCCAAATTGCCGCAAAACACGACAATGACATCTATTCTCGACGATGGCGCCATTTGGCGGCAATCTGGGGGCGCCAAACTATATTGCAAAAATTAGTCATCACCGGGGATCGAACTCTGGACCATTTCTTCACCACTGTTTTGACATTCCTGGAGGCGTTCAGGAAAATGGATCATGGTTCTGTGTTCCTCGCATGAGCCCCTACAACATGCAGAAAACCATTTCGAAAAAAGCTTCATGTCCTCAAGACCTCCGTTGTTAGAGAGTCCGCCCGTCTCCACTAGTTAGATTTCCCTCTTTCGCCCTCCCAACATACTGCACACCAACGCCAAGATTGTACCAACTGGAAACTTCAGTGAGCGCAATAAAAACGCTAGGTGTAGAGAAGTGCATTTGTTCACGAACCCCAGATCGGAGCCGAGCTTCGAGAGACGTGAAACGCGCGAATAGCTGCATTAGGTTTAAAAAAGGAACGGAACTCTTGATGATAAATTAAGGGGAGCAAAGGGAAGAGGGGGGATAATGTACAGGTAATCGTCGAATTTGTTAAGCTAATGGGAAATTACAGAAGTTCTTTTGTCCTGTTTTGATATGGATCTATCTAATCAGAAGCCTTCTCGGTGGCACACATTCAGATCGCAGAATGTGCCTCCAACCAGGGTCAAGCGAACGTCGAGGAAAATTTGGAAATACGACCCCCTCCCCCTTCCCAGAGGCCGAAGTCCATGAAACGACCCTCTTCAAAAGCCGAACTATGAAAAGGTTGTTTAATTCTCCCCAAAACTGCTCATAAAAACTGATGTTGACTGATCTTTATGCGTTGGCCTTGGAGCAACTTATCTACTATTGAAATTTGAACAAATATTCAAATGATTATAACTTTCTTCAAATATGACGAATTTTCAATCTGAAAGCAGATTTGGGAGTTTTGTGAAGAGCTCTTTCTAATCAGTGTTGAAATTACAAAAATTTATAAGAAATAACAAATTTAGATCAATTAACGAGGAAAATTCATGATGAGCACGAGTTTTTACACTTTCCGAAGCAATAACTTGCTTCATTTTCGTCAAATTCGAAAAGTTAATACGTCATACAAAACTAGAAGATTTTCTCTATCAAACGGTTGCTAAAGCAGCTTCATACGTCCAGTATTCAAAAAATGGCCACGTCGAGGATTTTTGCCTGAGTACCGCCGAAAGGTACTTTTCCGCTGCACTATTTCAACGACTATAAGTGCCTTTCAAGGGAAATTTCGTACAAAAGTAGGAGCAAGGAACCCACGGGTTTTTTTCCCAACAAGTGTAAAATTGTTCGACGAATCTCAACTTCAACACTTATATGTTCATGAATTTGACGCTGAAGGCTGCATTTCTTGTTGAATAGTGTACTCCTCCCTGTAATTTCACACGGACCCTTTCAGAATCCTCTTGATTTTCCTGAATTGAGATTCTTTCTCCAGAGAGCCGTAGTTGAAGCGCGCGCAACCAACTGGGCCCACTCTGGGATGCGCCGTGTGCTTCACATCCCTTCAGATTTGAGGACTCACTTGAAAGATAAAATATCCCTTGGAAAACGTGCGAATTTCGGATTCTTTAACTTGTGTGGTGATAAAACACTGAAGTAACTAAGAATTGCTAAGCGGACACCTCTGAATCACGAAGATTTTGTGTGGGCGGAATATCATTGTTATTGGAAATCCTCTGGCCTGGCATCGACTCGATCCTTGATGTTTGTCCTCCGACGGTGATGATCCTACTGCACGGCCCATCTCTTCCTCCAAGCGATCCAATAACAGAAGAACCAGAGAGCCAGGGATATCACGAAAATAAAGGAATAACTGCGACAGCCAACATGGAAAACATTTTCCTTATTAGTTCTCTCACACAGATTTTTGCATGCACCCCCTTATAAGGAAAGTGGAAATTCTGCTCACGAATATATTGTGTGTTGAGATTTGGTTATTATGCCTAACACATGAAAGGTCAATAACACGTTGACGACAGTCTGACGTGCCTTGCGCGTCGCACATTTCAGACCGTGTTGGACATTTCGACGCGCCTGCACATCAGCTCCTGGTACCCATTTTTTCCTCACATTTCCTATTTCTCCCGATGTTTCTTTTAGATTCTCCTAGGCAATATATTATCATGCCTATAAATGGCATGGTCCAACGAGGGGTTGAGTATGCATCTGTTGAGTAAAGGTTTTCTGAAGCTAGCTGATTTTTTAGTGTAGCTCAATCTTTGGCTGTACTCTGGAGCAAACAAGCAAATAAAAACAAAACATAAATGCAAACAACAATATGATAGAACAATGTGAGGAATTATGATTCTATGGATGACATGACTTGTGTTCTTCATTGAAGTCGACCCGAAAGTCTTTCTTCTGTAGCGCGTGTTGACAATTTTTTTAGGCCGCAATGATATTCTGTTCCTCAGACATAGTTGCTTAACATCGTACACGCTTTCTACTGCTTGCTTTTGATCCTTTAGCTACTTCTCCTAAAACATGTCTCGTGGAAAGACATTCATGTTAACG